AAGAAGCATCGATGCCTCTGAGGGATTTCATCACAGGAGGAGATGCATTGAGTAAGCACTTTCAAATCAATATTTGATCATATAATTGTATGTTCTCTTTCACATCGCTTGGTGGACGAATTATTAGAGATTCAACTCCCGGTAGAGGACCGCCATGTTTTAAGTTAGGAGGCCAAAATTATCATCGAATTGGGAGCTTATTACCATCCAATGGAATTGTTCCGAGGTTTGCACAGCTATACATTTATGACACGCAAAATGAAGATTTCAATAGAATCATGTCTGTGAGGTATATATTATAACAGATAATTATTACAATTCTACTATAACAAACTTAGGATAGTCTAATTTTTTTAATGTATCTAGGAACGAAGACAATGTGCATACACTACATGTCGAGATTGTTGCGAAGCTTAGGGAAATGTTGGATACTCACAATGTATTGGTCCAGTCATTTCGAATGATTGGCCAAAGGTTAAGTGAATCCACAAATATAGAATTCAAGTTGAAGTTAATTGGGAGTAGAACTTCTGATCCGAGGGTTTACAATTTACCATCTGTTGGTGAAGTCGCAACTTTAGTTGTTGGAGATCTTGATCATGCTCTTGGAGAGAGAGATATTTTGGTTCAAACTCAATCAGGTCCTTTGAAACAAATAAGTGAGTTAAATGCGGCATACTTGAGTCTGCAATACCCGTTGTTGTTTCCATATGGCGATGATGGTTATCGAGAGGATATACCTTTTGTTGAGCAAACATTGCCAAAGACTGGAGGACGGAGAAGTGTTAGCATCAGAGAATTCCTTTCATATCGTATACACGAAAGGGAAGGCGAAAGTTCCTTTATATTGCACTCACGCCGTCTTTTACAAGAGTTGTGTGTTGATGGTTATACGATGGTTGAGTCGTCTCGACTCACTTACATTAGCACACACCAGAAAAAGTTACGTTGTGAGATGTACAATAGATTTTCAGATTCCTTGGTGCAAGGTGACAACGATACGTCTACCAAAGGAAAATGAATTATTGTACCTCCTACGTTTGTTGGTGGTGCCCGTTACATGATTCAAAACTATCAAGATGCCATGGCAATATGTCGTTGGACTGGCTATCCAGATCTCTTTATCACGTTCACTTGCAATCCAAAATGGCCAGAGATCGAGCGTTTCTTGAGTGGGAGAGGACTAAAGGCTGAAGATCGTCCAAATATTGTTTCTCGGGTTTTCAACATCAAACTTAATGGGTTAATACGAGATTTAAAGAAGAATTCAGTGTTTGGGAGAATAAGAGGACGTAAGTCCTATTTTCCTTTCTACTTCATACTTTATCTAATTTATTACAAGTAAATCCTCATTTCTAATTACTGTTACCATGTTTTAATTACAGTTGTTTATACTGTCGAGTTCCAAAAGCGTGGTCAACCACATGCTCACATCTTATTGTTTTTGGGTCAAGAAGATAAATTCCCCATGCCTAAAGATATTGATGAAATCATATCTTCTGAGTTGCCTGATGAGTTGAGTGACCCGACATACTTCAACATCGTTCGAGATTTTATGATTCATGGCCCATGTGGCTCGAATTCACCGAACTCGCCCTGCATGAAGGATGGCAAGTGCTCTAAATATTTTCCAAAGGAATTCAATGAGGAAACTAATATTGACGAGGATGGTTACCCAAGATATCGGAGAAGGAATAATGGTCGTACAATAATGAAGAACAATGTTGAGTTGGATAATAGGTTCGTTGTCCCACACAATAGATACCTGTTGTTGAAGTATGGGGCTCACCTAAATGTTGAATGGTGTAACCAATCGCGATCCATCAAATATTTGTTGAAGTATATAAACAAAGGCCAGGACCGCGTCAAAGCAGGATTTTATGCGAGCGCAGAAAGTAGGGATAAAGAGCCAACAGAAACTCCAAATGAGATTAAACTTTATTATGACTGCAGATATATCTCTCCTTGCGAGGCGACATGGCGAATCTTTGGATTTGGAATTCAATATAAAAGTCCTAATGTTGAGCGTTTAAGCTTTCACCTGCCTGGAGAGCAGTGGATTTTCTTTGAAGATGACGATGATGCAGGTGATGTTTATACTCGAGAGAGTAAATTTCTAGCTTGGATGAAAGCAAATGAGAAATATCCACTTGCAAAGACGCTCACGTATGCCGAGTTCCCGCAAAAATTTGTTTGGAAACAAGCAAATCGAGAGTATGTACCGCGACAAAGAGGGTTTGCTATTGGACGTGTTGTGTACGTTCCACCGGGCTCTGGTGAGTCTTATTATATGAGAATTCTCCTAAACATCGTTCGAGGTCCAACTTCATACGAAGATTTAAGAACTGCCAATGGTGTTATTCACGACACCTATCGTGATGCCTGTTATGCCTTGGGTTTACTAGACAATGAACGGGAGTACGTCGATGGTTTTAAGGAAGCAAGTTCTTGGTGTTCAGCCAAACAGCTACGATTCTTATTCGTTACACTACTTACAAACGAATCCATGTCTAGGCCTAAACATGTCTGGGAACAATGTTGGGAATTCATGGCTGATGATATTCTACATCGTCAAAGATGTCTTCTGGGTCATCAAGGTATTGTGCAACTACAAAACATTCGTATTCTTATTTAAATTCCCGTTAACTAACATTACTTATTTAATGCACAGGTTTAATTTTAACTGAAGATCAAATCAAAAATTACGCCTTGATTGAGATAGAGATGTTACTTAGGATGCGAGCTAAGAGTCTACGTGATTTCGTTGACATGACATTTCCAATTCTAGATGCAGCATCAACATCTCGCAACAGGCTAATTCTTGATGAATTACAATATGATCGACATGCATTGAAAGAAGAACATCATAATATGATGGGACAATTGAATGACGAACAGCGTCGCGCTTATGAAACAATTATGGCTTCTGTCGATTCGGGCGAGGGCAAGATTTTTTTCGTTTACGGATATGGGGGGACTGGAAAGACTTTTGTGTGGAAAACTTTGTCGGCTTCTATACGCTCAAGGGGGCATATTGTGTTAAACGTTGCGTCGAGTGGTATTGCCTCACTTTTGTTGCCAGGGGGAAGAACTGCTCACTCCCAGTTTGGAATTCCCATCAATCCCCATGAAAATTCCACGTGTAACATTAAACAGAAGACACCACTTACAGATTTATTGGTTATGACCAAGCTTATAATTTGGGACGAAGCACCAATGACCCACAAATACTGTTTCGAAGCTGTGGACCGAACTCTGCGTGACATAATGAGTGTAGTTTGCCAATCTAATTCCAATCTTCCCTTTGGAGGTAAGACAGTTGTGTTTGGGGGAGATTTTCGACAAATTCTACCCGTCATACCCAAGGGAAGAAGGCAAGACATCGTCAATGCTACAATTAACTCTTCTTATTTGTGGAATTATTGCACTGTTTTACGCTTGACAACTAACATGCGTCTACAGCACATGTCTCGCGATGACAATTTAGAAAGCATGAGAGAATTTGCAGAGTGGGTTGCGAGTATTGGCGATGGTCTTGCAGGGCAAGAGAATGATGGAGTTGCTGAGGTCATTATCCCAGAGGACATGTTGTTAAAAACTATAGATGATCCAATTGCATCTATAGTAAATTCAACGTATCCAGGCTTCCACAATATTGCAAATGATCCAATGTATTTGCAGAGTCGAGCAATCCTCGCACCAACACTAGAAGTCGTGGATGAAATTAACGAATACATGACGGCATTGAATAGCGTCGGAGAAGCTAAAATTTACTTGAGTTCAGATGCAGTTTGTAAATCGGATTTAAACNGACATGCATTCCCCCGAATTTCTTAATAACATACGAGCATCTGGTGTACCGAACCATGAGTTGAAGTTAAAGATCGGAACACCAATCATGTTGTTGAGGAATATTGATCCATCTTCGGGTTTGTGCAATGGGACAAGGTTGATTGTTACCCGACTTGGTAATCATCTTATTCAAGCTACTGTGCTTACGGGGAAAAATATTGGTCAAGAAGTCGTTATCCCCCGATTGTTGCTTACCCCGTCAGATACGAGAATTCCTTTTAAGTTTCAAAGGAAACAGTTCCCAATTATGATTTCATATGCCATGACAATTAATAAAAGTCAAGGGCAATCGTTGTCTCAGGTTGGCCTTTTACTGAAGAAGCCGGTATTCAGCCACAGTCAGCTTTACGTAGCGCTTTCACGTGTCACAAATCGTAGGGGTCTAAAGATCTTGATATGCAATGATGACCAAAGCAAGATGAATCAAACTACTAATGTAGTTTACAAAGAAGTTTTTCAAAACGTATAATGTAATGCTTCCACAATTTGTATTATTGTATACTTCACCCCCTTTAATATTTCCTGTTATATTCGTATTTTAATTGAATCGTATCAAATTCCAACATTAATAAATTCCCTAATTATTGTAACTTTTTTTACGCCGTGCAACGCACGGGTTCGAGTTTAGTTTCCTTAAAAGGAAATGAAAGAAGTGTAAAGATTATCTTGGGAGGAATGGAAAAGTAAAGGGTGAAGTTAATTTTGGGACAAAGGAAGTTATTATATCTTCATGCATACGAATAACAACATATGTATGTAGGTATGTGTTACCTAAAAATTATACTCATCGTTCCTAGTGCATTCGTTTAGTTTGACTTTTATAAGTCAAATTGGACGAACTTTAATCATCAATTATTCTTAAATTGCATTGCATTTAATACACAACAACAACAACATTACCCCAATGCCTCAACAGCTCCCGCTCATTGCGGGATGGGGGGGGTCAGATAACATAGAGCGGCTGTTTCTAGAAGACCCATGATGAGCGTCAAAAGTTGCATTGAACAACTGCTACTACACAATTGCAAGAAGCACACACAGTTTAGAGAGCCAATTTACTTCACAAATAGTGTATTGCATTTAATACAATAAATTAAAATTTTAAAAGTTCTATACAAGATAAATCTAATTGAATGATTTTATACAAAAATACATTACTATTTTTATTCAATTGATGCCCATAGTTTGTCGAATTTGACTCAAAAAAGTCAAACTAGACGAATACACGGGATGGTGGTAGTATTTGATATACCTGCAGTATTGAGTAGGCATGGCCTTGAACAATACCACTCGAAGAAATATGCACATCTGAACCTGAAGGACTACCAACACCAAGTAGAAAACCTTCTTGGTAGAAAACCTTGTTGATTGAACCGTAACACTTGAGACCATAACCTTCCACTAGCAAGATCGATCTGTGCTTCAGTACTTCTCATATCAATTTCCTCACCCGCGCCCCCAGTGACATCAACAAGAGCATCTTGGACAAGTCCACCTTCCAATGCCTCATACGAACCATGAAGCTTAGCATAAGCTTTTTTTAAGACAGAGACCCACAATTCATTTTTCTTCCTGCTGGTGGCAAATGCAGGTTTACCAGGTGACTCACAGGGAATCCAATCATAAATAACGACAGGAAACCATTCCCCCTGAATTGACAAACCCAAAAGTGTGCAAGTAAAAAAGAAGTCATCAAACAAGAGTTCTTCAAATGCCATACAGTAAAATGGAGTAATTGACCCAAAATTAGGCCAGAAAATAGTGAAAATCACTAGAGAAACCAGAAAATTGCTGCCAGGTACCCCCCCGGTTTTGTGATAAGAACTCACAGGTCCCATCTTTTTTAAAAATATACTCCAGGGTACCTTTAGTTATCTGAAAACTCTGACTCCAGGGACACTTTCCGTGCATCCCTCCGTCAAATTCATTTTCTCCGTTAACTTTTCATCTTCTTCCCAAAAATTGTTGTTAGGTACCCTCAATTTTGTAGAAATAACTTCCAGGTCCCATCATTTCTAAAAATATACTCCGGGTACCCTAAAATATCCAAAAACTTGCTTTGGAAGAATTTTCCTTTATTATTATTATTATTATTATTATTATTATTATTCTTAGATTATTATTATTATTATTATTATTATTGTAATGTAGATTTTATTAGGTGAGCAAAATTATAAGTTCCTTCGAGGTTTCTTTACGGTTCTTTCCCTCGTCGCTTTTATTGAACCGTCAGGTTAGGTTTAGGGTTAGCTAGGGTTTCTTTGTCTCCTATATATAGAGATGTAACCCTTTTAGAATATTCAATTATTATTATTATTATTAATGTTAATATTATTATTATTATTATTATTGTGTGACTATTACTATTATTATTAATATTATTATTATGTTATTATTATGATTGTTATTAATATTACTATTACGAGTGTTACTTTTATTATAGAGTATTATTATTATTAGTCACTTCATCATTATCTTCCGCAACTGTAACTCGGTACCGCGTTGGATTTTCGCTACACACACTAGAATAATAATAATAATAAATATAATAATAATAATAATCGTGATAGTAATATTAATAGTAATAATAATTGCAATAATAATAATAATAATAATAATAATAATAATAATAAAAGGAAAAAAAGGAAAACCCCCATAGTAAGTTTTTGGATATTTTAGGGTACCCCAGAGTATATTTTTAAAAAGAGTAAATTCCCAAAATAGTCCTTTGTAATAAGGGGTTTTCTCAAATTAGTCCTCAATAAGTTTTAATTACCTACGTGGTCCTCTATAATTGAGATTTATTCTCAAAATAGTCTTTTGTAATACGGTGTTTTTCCAAATCAGTCCTCAATAAGTTTTAATTACCTATGTGGTCCTCTATAATTGAGATTTATTTCCAAGATGGTCCTTCGTAAATAATGTTACTCAAATGAGGATTAACTACATGTATCCAAGAATGGATCAATCAAATATCTTCGTCCTGCGACCAATTTGTTTGTTGGAGAGGAAGAACTTGCCTCTTAGGAACACGCGTAGTTTGTGCCATGGGTTGAGAATTGCATTGTGATTCATTGTTTGTAATCTCTCCCTGGAGCAATAATTCAGTGAAGCTTCTACCATCATTCTCAATTTAAACCTACATATTTGTCCAAGTGCGGGAGTGGAGAAAGTGGATTTAAACAGACTGTAAATTTAGATGCCACTCTTTTTAGTTCCTTTTCTTTTATAGCTTAAAAAAAGATGCAAAAAAATGACTTTTTTGTATTAAAAAATTATTTTTTTACACAGTACAAACATGACTTTGGTGAGACACATGATATGGCAACTGTTTTTTTTTACAAATATGGTGAACACATGATACTTTGTTCAATTATCACAACAAAGGCAAATAAAACATGATACTTATTCAATTGTCATAACAAAGGCACTGATGGGTAAATAAACATGTGAGTGGTGAGCCATACACTCTGCACACAAATATTTTTGCACAAGGGAAAGGTGGGAGGGAACAGCAGTTCAAATTCTGGTTTGACCCAACCAACAACTTCCACACTTACTCTATCATTTGGAAGCCCCAACGTATCATGTAAGTTCATTTTTACACCAAAATTTGATTTTGGGTTTCTCGGGTTATGCTACACTTACACTAGAAATTATACCCCGTTTGTACACCGCAGTTATACCCAAACATTCTGATGGTTTACACCCCGACACTAGTGTTTGTGCGTTAACAAAAATGTACAAAATGGGGTACAAAAGTTTGGGGTACAAATAGCTTTATCCTTTGATTTTTCCTACATCAATGCTTACACCATTCCAAAAAAGGAAAAGAAATTTTTTTTAATGGAAATATGTATTTGGAAGTTGTCTGGTTTAGTTTGTCAGCCAGCATGTGTTTCAGTGTTCTTCAATTCTCTTTTAAGTCAACTTTCATTTATACAATTTGAAATGTAAACAAAACTTAACTAGACAGCACTAATTGTAAATTCTATTTGATCATTTTATGCACAAGAGAAAAAGTCCAACATTTAACTAATTGAAAAAATGCAAATAGGATTCTGTCCTTTCTGATTAATTTGAACTCACTTATGCAACTAAACTTTCAGCCTACCTCCAAATGCTGAAACAGTTTGCCTACATGTAATATCCCCAAATGCTTCAATAAAGAATATCAAATTGTGGGTGTTTCACATTACAATCACTTTGAACAAGAGTGTAAATTGTAATGATTGTATTTCTCCAACAATAGTACTCCCTCCGTCCGGGAATGATGTTCCCATTTTGACTTTTCTTCATTTTTAAGGAGCATTGACCAAGGGAGTAAATAGACCAAAATGCCCTTCCACCCATCCCTACCCCCAAATACAGCTTCCCTGGCAGCCACCACCGGCCCAAAGCTCACTGCCGCCAGCCTCTATCTCCACCCGCCCAAACGAGTTCACCTCAGCCGCCGTCTCCTACCTTCGCCCATAGCCTCCACCATGACTATGTGTGGGAGAAAGAAAAAAGGGGAAGAAAGAGGACGAGGAGAAGAAGAAAAAGACAGATCTATTGCAGATCTAAAAGTAGCCCCAACATTGCCGCCACGTACAAACCCACCACCGTCGGCAGCCCTACCATCAGCGCCAGAAAAGAAGAAAAAAGAGAGTAAGAATTGGAGACTCGCCATCGCCGGCCGCCACCATCACCGCCATGGGTATGTGTAAATCTAGATCAAAGATGGAGGAGAAAAAAGAATGGGAAGATAAAGAAGAATAAAGATTATAGAGAGTAAGAAGAAGAAGATTGAAGAGATGAAGAAGAAGAACCGAGATGGGGGAGAAGAGAGAAGAAGAAAAAGAAAAAATGTGGGGATGAGGAAAAGGGGTGGCGGAGAAAGAAGAAAGAAAGAGAAAAAAAGAAAGGAAGAAAAAGAAGAAAAGAATAAAGAAGGGATAATTTTGGGAGAATAGAGGAAAAAGCGTACAATGGGAACATCATTCTCGGACAAAAAAAAACGTACAATTGGAACATCATTTCCGGATGGAGGGAGTATTTTTTTGTCCAAAAACTCAATAACCTACATTTGGACATTTATTCAAACACCTAGTGTGCAGTACCATGAATTCATATATTTGATTCTTTTGATGAATTAAAAACAATCCATTCGAACTAAAAGAGATCAAGCAGAGAGATGGAATGCAGAGCAATCAAAGTTAGAGATGAGTGGAGTTACCTGTGGGTTGTAGGTGAAGGATTATGGCCGGAGAAGACTATCGCGCAAAAGAGCCGAGAAGAGAGCGACCGATGATTTTCCAAGAGAGAGTAATTGTATTTTGCTGCTTCAATTTTGCCTCCCATCCGCCACGCAAAGCTAAGTGACTCGCGGAATGCCTAGCGACCCTTTTTTTTTCTCGCCCACTGCCGCGCTTCCCTCTACAGGAATGGCAAGGCGTGGCAAGGTTTCTCCTTGCCGCTGCCAGTGCTCTAAACAACATAGTCTTCCATTTTAAATTCATTATCAACATAATCACCAATTTATAATGTAAATTTTTTTCACATATCTTGAAGAGAAATCAAATTGAACAATAATTATTGAAATTATACAATTTATATATTCTCCCGGATATGGGTAAAAATCCCACAATAATATGGTTAAACAAAATTACTTCACCAAATGACAACTTGGAAGCTTTTGCCAGCAAATAATTAAGATGGCATTGGCGGCGGTCTTGGGCCTTAACCCATCCCAAATTCAAGATGTATGCGGTCGACGTGGAGTTCGAGAGCTAAGGAGGTCTCGCTGGAGATCTATGGTCGGTGGTCACAGAGTATCACTTGCTTTTGTGAAGGAGTAGGTGAAGAGTTTTTAAAATCTTTAACTTTTGGATGAGATTTGAGAATTGATTTGTATTTATACGCCAAAAATTCCATCAAAACCCATATGGTTTAGAATTTTAGTTTCTAAAAGAAAAATGTTAGGGTTACACCAAAAGGTGTACCCCATTTGTCCTCCACCTCTCCATTACCACAAAATGGGCAAAATATTTTTAAAAAATTAAATAAATAAAAATGGGGTAAAAATGAGTGGTGGAGAAAGTGGTGGGGGACAAATGGGGTACACCTTTGGTGTACCCCTAGCATTGCTCTTTCTAAAAATCTATCAACTTTTCAATACCATCATATTTTGAGAGATTTTTTGAAATCTGAGTTGAATACACTCAAATTTTAAAGGATATTTTAAAATCTGAATTGAATACTTAGAGATTTTCAGAATCCAAAAAAATCAATCACAGCTGTGATTGAATACACCCCTCTAACATTGACATTTTGAAAAGGCTATATACGGGCAACGTTTATCGTTAGCATTTTCAAAGTAATTTACACCGTTAAAAATTTTATCCAAAATGCTAATGTTAATCTCTAACGCTATTCCAAAACAGACCCTTACGATTTTTTTTCTTCTCATTTATTGCAGTTTAACTTCAGTTCTTTCACCAAACTACATTCATTACCAATATAAATAAATGGCTATTAAAAATCCACCTGTTATGATTTTAAGTCTAATAACAAAGAATTAGACTCCATCTGTACACGAAATTCAAACTGTAAAATTGGAATTAGAGACAACAATTCCAATTCTGCTGTTTGGTATCACTAAAATATGTGAATTTGGAATTTCTGATACAAAAAATGAATTGGAATTGAAGAATTCAATTCCATAAAATTTAATTTTCAATTCAATTCCATAAAATTTAATTTTCAATTCAATTCCAATTTCGTCAATTTCGTGTACCAAACAGACTCTTAAGGAGGCTACCCCTGGCATTTGGTCTCCTTGATCTGATCAAGGTTTTTACCATTATATTTCCCGCGCTCTGTACCATGTTATAAATCTGCGCTGCTGTTTTTTGACCTCCACAACAATTACCATCCAACTCACTGATAGATCTTCCTAATACCTCTTCCGATCCCAACAACTCAGTCAATTCAAGGAGAGAAATATCGATCGCCAATTCCATTTAACTTAGTGCTTGATATTCACCACTGGATACCAATCGTACCATTGTGATTTGATGTTTTCAACCAGTAGGGAAGGACGAGAATTGGAGACTTTACCCATTGCCATTTTTATGTACACTGCAATCACCAATAGTCTCTACACGAACACAAGCCATCTTTAAAGTGATGGAACCTATTTGCGTCTCTCAGAATGATTTCTCGTCCGGTGACTTTAGCTATTAGCTTTATAGCAGAATGGCAATCCCCACAAACCCGCAGGTTTTTCATCACTCTTATAGCCGTTCCTTCTGGCAGCTTGAGAAGTCCGTATGCCACAGCCAACTTCTCGCTGTGATAATGCAGACTGTGCACCCTCTCCTCCTCTTCCAAATCATGAAGAACAAAGCTGCCATCTGGGCAATACCCAGCTTCTTTTAACATGGAACCCAACTTATCCAACATTTTGATGATTGTTTGATGTTCCGGGTGGGGCTTGCTCTCTCCACCAGTGAACATGTGTACTTTCTTCTCCACCTCAAGCCAGCTGCAACCGGGTGACTTGCTCAATTTCCTTGAACGCATGTCTTTCCTGACTGCTGCAACATCACCCCACCTACCCTTTGTTGCATAAATGTTAGAGAGCAGGACATAAGGGCCAGGCTTCTGTGGCTCTAGCTTTAGAAGTTGTTTTGCAGCTACTTCGGCCAAATCCAAGTTCATATGCATCCTGCAAGCACCAAGCAAAGAACCCCATATAACTGCATCAGCTGCCACGGGCATTTTTTCTGCCAAATTGATTGCCTCAGTCAAGCGACCAGCTCGACCCAGTAGATCCACCATGCAGGCATAATGTGCAGTTTCTGGTTCTACTAGGTATTTTGACTTCATGGAATCAAATATATCTTGGGCTTCTTTCACCTTTCCATTGTAGCTGCAGGCCGTCAGGAGTCCCACGAAAGTAACCACGTCTGGTGCAATTCCCTGCAAACACATTTCTCTAAAGAAATCAAGAGCTTCTACTCCTAAACCATTCTGAGCATAACCAGTGATGATAGAATTCCACATGACAGTATCTTTGGAAGATGATCTGTCAAAGACGCTTCTTGCCCTGACAAGTTCACCACATTTAAAATACATCGTGATCAACACTGACGAGACATAAACATCATCATCAAACTTGGATCTGATCAGTGATGCATGTATCTCTCTACCACAGTCAAGAGTCGCAAGGCTTGCACAAACTGATAGTACGCTAATTAAGGAAGGAAAATTGGGGCGGACGCCTTTACTTTGCATCAAACGAAATAAACTGAGTGCTTTCAATTCAAAACCTTTCCTTTCATAAACCTTAATCATAGCACTCCACGTCTTCTCATCCTTCTCCTTTGTTGAATCAAAAACCATCCTCGCCTTGTCAACCTCCCCATTTTCTCCAACACCGAGTATGATTGCATTACAAGCACCCGTTGGTTTTACTGGCATCTCTTCGAACAACTTCCATGCCTCCTCTATTCTTCCACTCTGAGTGTACCCCAGCAGCATAGATGTCCACGACACCTCATTCTTCTCAGGCATGACCTCAAAAAGCTTCCTAGCAATGTCTACCTTGCCATTTTGAGCATATCCAGTGACCATAGATGTCCATGAAAAAACATTCTTTACTTTCATGCCATCAAAGATCTCGCGTGCCTCATCCACCCTACCTGCCAGACAATACCCACCAATCATGCTTGTCATTGACACCACATCCTTCACTGGCATCATGTCATACAGCCTCCTTGCCTCGTCAACTCTCCCATTCTGAATCAACCCTCCCATCATTACCGTCCACGACACCACGTTTTTTTCTGGCATTTGCCAAAACAGGCTTTCGGCCTCGGATATCAACCCTCCCTCAACGTACCCTCTAACTAGAGCTGTCCAAGACACGACATTCCTCTTGGGCATTCTCCCAAACACTTTTCGTGCCTCATTCACCATCCCATTTTTCACGTACCCTGAAATAAGCCCATTCCAAGAAACGATATTCCTGTAAGGCATTTGATCGAACAGTTTCTGGGCTTCAAGTGGCCGGCGATTCTGGAAGTAGCATGAGATCATAGCGTTCCAAGTAGCAACGCTTCTGTTGTGAAGTTGATCGAACACTTTGCGAGCATTATCGGGTTGACCCAAACGGGCAAAGAAGGATATCTGTGACATGGCTGAGGAGGACACATGGGTTGAAAAGCAGCGTTTATACGGGAGCTGGAATAAGAGACACATATCTGAGTTTATAGGCATCAAGCAACAACTTGTGATTGCTCCATTCACAACAACAATAAAAGAGGACTTGATACCAATTGGGACTGGTTCACGGCGTAATTGATAAAGTTCAATGCAGGAAGAAGCGATTCGTAGTCACTCCATAGAAAAGATCTTCGAGCATAGCCCTGCACAAACTAGGGCGGTGGGCCGGCCCGTCTATTCCGGTTGGGATTTTATATTATCCTGAGTTTTGTTTCATTTTTTTCAAACGAGAGGGAATAGCTCGGTCCACAAACTTATCTTTCTTTGTCCTTTAATAATCTCGATCAAATAAAACAAAACAGGTTCGTGTTGTCCTACTTTGTCATTGTCCGAAATTAGATACTTCGTATAAAAATATAAAATACATAAGCTGATGCAATCCACCTTGACTTGTAAAGTAATAGAAAATATTGATACTCCGTATAATGTTTTGAAAGTGTAGGGGTACTAAAATCAATTAGTACACTTATCATTGACATTTTGGAAAAAGAAGCTAGATTTGAGCTTCTTGGACTTGCACAAACAAGTGTCGTGAGATTAGGTTTGTTTTATTCCTGCAATAGAGGGTTAGTACAAACACAAAAGACTTATTTGACGCATAAGAAAAAGTGGGATGAGTATCGGAAAGGCTAACAATCCCCCCTTTTTATATTGACAAATAAGGCTTTTTTTCAATATTCAACAAGCATCCAACAACCATTTAACAATTATCATCAATTGTGAATCAAAATGCATACAAAGTTCTAAAGATGAGATGCCAACCATACAATGTTTTTATAGAGAGCATAATAACCATACAAAGTTTGAAATGATGATAAAAATGTTTGACCATAATAGAGTAAAGATGCATGATAGTGCCATCCTAGGTGTGATCAAAGTGGGATTTGGAGAGGTAAGAGAGAACACAATCAAGCTTGTCCTAGATTTCTCTTTGCTTTTGCTCAATTTAGTCTTGCTTCTTCTCACTAGTTCCCAACCGGGAGGCTATTTTCTTTATCGGAGCCATCATGTTCATTTTGATAAATTTGGTGAGGCCTTGGATATTTTTTGGATTTCCGATATGGCGAGAGTATTGAGTTGAGCGAGAGGTAGATGTTGATGTGGATCCATGTTGAGAAGGAGAGCGACGGAGTGAGCTAGAAGACCCTTTGGAAGCGATTTCCTCTTGGCGTGTGGGCATAAAAGAGGTTGAGTGCCTATGAAGAAGACCGCGAATTGATTCTAGGAGAGCTTCCCATTCGTGTTCGGTATAGCAAGTGCAAAAATGGTGCACTATACCATTACGAGCAAAGCAAGCGGCATCAAATAGCTTTGTGTCACCCAAAGTAAGCGTAAGCAAATGGTTTGAAACAAGATGTGAGTAAGGAGCATTTCATATGGCTTGAAAGCATTGAATTTGCATTCCTCCATATGAAGGGTGAGGTAAGAGTGGTTGATGTGTTTTCTCTTGTAGATCAAATAAAGGAGGGTACATTCAAAGATGCCAATAGTTTGCTCTTTGTTGATAATCGGGGCAATGTTCTCCTTTATGATTCAGAGAAGGATAAGTTGATTCGCTATAAGGTCTTAAGCCTTTGGGTGTTGAAGGGTTCCACCGAATTGGGAATATGACTCAAGGGGAACCTTGTTGAGGTATCTAAGACAATCAAGACATGAAACATATCTCGAGTCAGAAATTCAACCTTTCTTAGCATACACGGCTAACCCACCTTCACAAAGGAAAGCAAATTATTCAAGACACCATTGATAACGTTACTATAAACGGTGGCCTTGAGAGTTAGATACCTTTCATGTGTGGTAACCTTGGCAGTGCTATGGAACTCATGTACAAGGTCTGGATAGACGGGAGCGGAAGAGCAAAGAAAGTTGAGCCAACCTTGGTGTGCGAGAAAAGTCTCAAGTTCTTCCGTCAAGTCTTAAGTGTGGAGCATATTCCATCGATCATATTTGGGTCGGGGAAGGTGCGCAATTGGGTGGAAGATGAAGCCATTTGAAGAAGTTTTGATGAAAGGCTTCAAGAGAATTGAGAGATAGAGAGAATGAGGAGGGTTACGGTTGTAGATCCAAGTGACGGCCAAAAAAACAATGTTAGGATTTTAAATGATTTTAACAGTCACGCAGTTGGGGGATAGATAGTCATTACAAATCTAAATGTAGAAGTTTCTTTAAAGTACATGTCCAAATCAACATAACATCACTACACCCTATTTTACATAACACAACAGTTTCATTGCCCAAAATAGCTAAAAAAGAAATCTCCCTCCATTAAGTTAAAATTTCTCACCTAAATTTAACACTTCCTCGGCTATAAATATTTACTTTCCTTTTTTAGATTATAAGCACTCCGTACTACGAGTACATCCAAAATGAAATTTCTCTCTCGCCCAAAAATTCACTGGCCGATCGCACCTTGCACACAAGAGGCGCAAATTATACCGTACATCCGACTGTACGGTTCTTCCCGTACAGCCGGAAACTAATTAGGGCAAACGCCAAACTGGGACCTGCTGCAAGAAAGGCCGACCATGAAGGAGAAGGAGGCTGCGCGATCGATCGCTGATTACGAGGCTGCGCGAAGGTCCAATCGGCGATTCACGATGAAGATGGAGGTTGTTTGGAAGTCTGATCGGCAATTGAAGGATGAAGGTCTGATCAACGACAACTGCTTGATATGTGAATATCTGATCGCGATTCCAGTTGCTCCCGATCTTTCTTCGCGATTCCAGTTGCTCCCGATCTTTTCTTCGGGATTTCCAGTTTATTTATGAATGATAGGTTGTTTAAGATTGAGTACTTGGTTATATGGGAATGAGTACTAATGTGTTTTAGAATGAATATTATGTTATACGTAAATAAATATTGAATAAATTTGTGAAAATGAATACGACGTTATTTCTGAATGAGTATTGTGTTATTTCATAATGAGTACCACATTTTTCAAATGAACTATTATGCTTGTGCGAGAATGAATACTACTTTATTGTACCATATACTAACTCTACAAGAGGGGAGTATCATTTTTTAGTTGAAAAAAAATCAAAATTCGTTTCAAGTGTTTCACAGAATAAGAACCCTAGAAACCCAAAGCAGCGGGTCTAAGACCGGCGGCATCCATGAATCTAGCAAAGCGAGTCGCTACCTCTTTCGTTTCCGCTCAATCCTTCAGAAGACCCTTGAATCAGTTTCAGGTGACTCAGTTCTTCCATCTCTCGCCCTCCCATTTCTCAAAATTCTGCACTCCCACGAACAGTATTCTCCATGCGAATCCCAACCTTTCGTCTTCAATGATGCCCAATTCGTTACTAGAACACGTTCTCTGCAACGATTGGTCCGCTAAGCTTGAGAAGTCTCTGTCGGAAGGATATGGCTCTCAGTTGAGCCATGAAGCTGTTATGTATGTGTTCAAAAGGCTCACTGCAGACCCTCGAAAAGCTCAAAAGTTCTTCAATTGGCTTGTGAATGTAAATGGCTTTAAACCGAATTCTTCCGTTTATAGCTTGATGCTTAGGATCTGTGCAAACAAGGATTGTATGAAGGAGTTTTGGGTGATTTTCAGGGAAATGAAGGAAAAGGGGATTGTTCTTGATGGAGAGACTTATAAATCCATATTTTACGGGTTCCGCAAATCAAGAATGGATACTGCTGCAGCTGAATTAGAAAAGTTTTACAAGCTTACGATGAAAGAGAATGCTACTTGTGATTCGGTGAATGAGGTGGTCTCTGTGATTAAGCGGTCAGATTGGGGATACGTGGTGGAGAAAGAATTGTTGGCAAAAAACATCTTGCTTTCGGATGAGTTTATACTTGGAGTTCTGAAGGAACTTAGAGATGCACGGTGTCCACTAGTGAAGTTTTTCGAATGGGTAGAGGAAGGTCTCAATTATGAGCACAATAGCATTACTTATAATGGGATTCTTAGGGTTCTTCCCCAAGAAGATTCAGTTGAAGAGTTTTGGAGTATGCTCAAAAAGATGAAGACTGCAGGTTATGATATGGATCTTGACACATATATAAAGGTCTCAAGGTCTTTCCAAAAGGCTCGGAGATTTGAAGATGCTATCAAACTTTTTGAGCACATGATGGATAGCCCATATAAGCCATCAACTGGCGAATTTACTATACTTTTACGAAGCATCGCAACTCGTGCCCCTTCCGATGTTGATATGATATTTAGGGTAGTGAAAAAATTTGAGGAAGCGGGAAATACACTGTCAAAGCCAATTTATGATGTGATTCACAGGTCTATGACTGGCCTAGGGCAATTTGACGAAGCAGAAAAGATTATGGAAACCATGAGAAATGCAGGGTACGAACCCGACAACATCACTTACAGCCAACTGATCCATGGGCTTTGCAAAGCAGGGAGAGTGGAGGAAGCCTCGAAAGTAATAGATACAATGGAAGAACTAGGATGCGATCCGGATATCAAGACTTGGACTGTCTTGATTCAAGGCTACTGCAGAGCTAATGCAGTCGATAAGGCGCTGCTTTGTTTTGCTAAGATGATGGAGAACAATGTGGATGCGGATGGCGATCTCTTGGATGTATTGATAAATGGTTTTCTCAGCCAGGGAAAATCAGTTGGTGCATATCAATTCCTAACAGAGATGGCAAATAAGGCTGAATTGAGACCATGGCAAGCAACATACAAGACTCTGATTCAAAAGTTGTTGGGGGAAATGAAACTCGAAGAAGCACTGGATCTACTTCGTGGGATGAAGAAGTTCGATTACCCTCCATTTGTTGAACCCTTTTACCAATACATTTCCAAGCTTGGGACAGTAGAGGACGCAATGGAGTTTCTGAAGGTCGTCAGTAAGGGGTGTCCGTCTGTTGCAGTGTACCATCATATCTTTAAATCGTTCTTTGAGGAGGGTAGACTCTCTGAAGCAAAAGATCTTCTATACAAGTGCCCGCACCATATCCGTAAACACCCTAGCATTTGCAGCCTGTTTGGTTCTACAAACAACCACAAGAGAAGACAGAAGTCTGTAACTACTTCCTAGGTTTAAAAAGACTGGCATTCAAACACTCTGGACTAGTGCAGGGGTGTTCTTTGCACATTGGAATGAAGTTGGCCTTTGTGACATCAATGGGTTTACATGCCATGTTAATGCATCGTTAGTGGTGCCTTATTTGGCCCGATGCAGTTAAAGAAAATATAAAAAAAATGTGCAATAAATTTTCTTTTTTCTGAACATCCCAAAACGATTTCTTGTTTCTTTTAAAGAAAGAATTGTGTGATTCATATTATTTTGCCCTTGATATCATAGACTACTTTAACTATCCAAATTTAACTTTTCTTACATTTTATGTTTTTTTATACGCGCAGAATATGTGGTACCCCGAACCTATTTAACTGTCTGATTTGCTTTTCAAACACAAAGATTAACCAACAATATCTTTTAAAATATGCTAGCAAAAACTATCAAACATAATACATTCAAAATATATTTCAAAATTGTCTTTTAAAATTTAGAAGAATTTGTCAACAAAGAACTCTATTTTGTTAGGTCATGTGTAATGGAGTGTTTGACCACTGCTATATATGGGATATGTGGCAACGGCGCAATGTAATCCTATCACTCGAAATTATGTTAGGCCAGGTGTTATGACGAGATTTGGAGCACCACATAGGAGTCCCTTAAGCGAGTGAGTGCGGGCAGAAATTGTGTGTTATGTGACTGTAGTAATGTGATTTATCTTGATTGATTGAGGTGTTATGTATTAAATTTTGATTGATCGAACATTTAAAAAATAAAAATAAATAAAGGTAGGGGAGGGCCACGCATGTGATTGGTGGCCTGTGTAATGGAGGGTGGGTCAGAGGAGGGGCTTGACCACCCTCCTTCACACTCCATAGCACATACTCTTATTGTATGGATTGACAATTCTTGATCAAATTTTTGAGTAATGATTATTTATTTTAGTATTTTTTTTGGTTTTCTA